GGTAGCTCCAACCAGAATTCAAGTTTTTTCCAAAATTAAAATCAAATGCTATTGATGCATACCAAATGCATAGTTGTTTATTATGTGAGTGACGACATTATTTTCAGGCTTGTGCAAGTAGAGGGAACAGGTGGAGGTGGAAGAGAAGGCTGCCAGCTCTAAGCTGTCTTTTCTCAAATGCATGCCTTTCTGGGAGAGGGGCATCCTCAGAGCCAAATTATTCTGGGGAGGGATAGCTTGGGTTATTGCTCTAGAGCAGGCAATTGTCTAAGACAGGGGTAGGCAACCTAAGGCCCGGATGCGGCCCCCCTGAGGCCTTTGGACCAGCCCCAGGCCGGTCCTGCCACCGCCACCGCCACCCACCATGATGATATTGATTATTGTTGTTATTACTTGTTCTTGGGGTTTTCTTGGCAAAATCTCCACATGGGTTTTGCCATGGCTTTTCTGGGGCTGAGAGAATGTGCATGCATATTTTTATTTTTTTAAAAAAAAATATTTTTATTTGTTTGTTTGTTTGTTTGTTTGTTTTTGATGCTTCGGCCCCCCCAACTGTCTGAGGGACAGCAACCCGGCCCCCGGCTAAAAAAGGTTGACTACCCCTGGTCTAAGATATCCCTCCCCAACCACCTTTGACCCCAGGACACCATCCTCAACCAGGAAGTCATGCACTGGAAGGCAAATAAGATGAAGACAGCAACATTCTGTTAACTTCCCATTCTGCCCCTGCAAACATTTTCTTCCTTTCCTTATTGTTTTTTCTTATAGCTTTTTCATCTTGCCATTACCAGCATAACTAGCAATGGCAAAGTTAAAAGGGTCCTAGCCCAAATCAGAAAAGGAACCACTTCTCTGTATTTTTAAATATGTAAGAACATTACAAATTCATATCCTAACTGTTGCCACACATTATAACATAAATTTGTTTTGCTTTGGTTCTTCATATTGCTTCAAATAAAACATAGTTAGCTCTGTAAGATAAAAGAAAGTTATAGTTGTAAGACTTGAGTATGAAGAGGCTGCATACTGGAAACTATATTTGGGAAAACAAATGATGTTCATTGATTTTAAGACAACAAAGTGGCTTCCTAGTTAAACATTCCTGGGACTGAAGATCCTATAGAAATCAATATGGCTGACCTCTGAGAGCACTGGTTGCAAGCGTTTCACAGTTCCCATGTCATTATCGGCATATCCTATCTACAGTATTGTTTGAGAAGCACACATTAAAAGTCACATCTAAAATATTCAAAATCCTCCAGAGATATCATATTGAAGTCATATGAAGTTGCAAGGAATGAGGCAGGGCTGCACAACATTTTTTTAGGCCCAAGGCCAACAGCCAGGCCATGAAGGGGCTGCAGATGAACACATACATTTACTTGTAATTCTAACAACTTTCAGTATTTCCACACAAAGCTGGTAAAGGACAAGCCAATTCTATGCATGTGCACTAAGAGGTAAGTGCCAATGCAACAGTCTTAAGGACACAAATCTAATTCATGCACTAAGCACCAGCAAGCATGCTAAAGATATTTAAAATTTAAATTTAAATAAGGTAAAGGTAAAGATATTCCCCGTTGACAAGGTTTTCAAGTCATGTCTGACCGTACGGGGTGGTACTCATCTCCGTTACTAAGCTGAAGAGCCAGCGTTGTCAGAGACTACTCTGTGATCATGCGACCAGCATGATTATACAGAACACTGTTTACCTTCCCACCAAAGTGGTACCTTATTTATCTACTTGCATTTGCATGCTTTCCAACTGCTAGGTTGGCAGAAGCTGGGACTAGTGACAGGAGCTCACCCCATCATGCAGCACCCAGGCCTCGAACTGCCAACCTGCTGATCTTGCAATCAATAGAGTCAGCATCTTAATCACTTGAGCCACTGCATCCATTTAAATTTAAATACCCTGCTTATAATATTAAAGTTTTTAATGTCTTTTAAATGGCCCTTATCTCTGATCTCTGATTACAATTCCTACTTAGCAGTTGAAAGGAACCCCCTTCTTCCCAAACTGGTTCTAGAAGCTGCTCCAGGCAGTTAGGCTGTGATGACAGCCGCACAACTGACAAATAAGGGATACATGTGTCATGTAAGTTGTGAATTCCTGGACTAACTGAACATATTTGGCCCCTTCTGGAGCTATTGTTAACTGAAGTATCCCTGTACAAACACTGGAGAAGTGCTGCTTCATGTTTTTATCCATTTAATGTAAATAACCCAAGAAATGGAAAAGGTGAATCCAGCCCTAGACTCCTATTACTACATGGATAAAAGACGTTGTCAACCAAAACTGGGTTGTCTTTTTCTATACCCTCCAGTCAGTAAGCAGCTAACATCAGGTGTCAAATCAGAGTAGCCATACAGTCATCAACCGTAAAGAGGTTTTGTGGATGTGAATGATGAAAACTTTTCAAACAGGTTACTCGAGTAAAAGCACAAATCCTAACAAACATTGATGTCAGATGGTACATCCTTCACTTTATTATGCTTACCAAAGGCAAAAATTCATTCTCACAGTCGCTTGTTGTATCATACGTAAATTCTTTGTTTCCACATGGCATGGGATCTGATCTCAGAAGGGGACCATAAGCTGAAGATTCCACAGAGTGGTTCCTGGTGATTGGAGGTGACAGTTCAGTAGCTGTACTAGAGAGAGAGACTCTGGCTGACAATTGTTGCAGCTTCTGTATTTCCTCTTCATAGTGCTGAACAGCTTTGTCAAATCTAGCCTGGAGAGCTCTCAGTTCTTCTTCATGCTTGCACTGTAACTCTTGCATTTTTCTGGACAATGATCAAAAAAAGCAAGTTAGACCATAAAACACAAGCTATTTTCAGATGCAAATATCAAACAATATTTGGAAAGCCAACATAAATGCTGTTTTCTGTGATCAACACATGTCCCAGGCAAAAACATAAAGACACACTGTCCACAGAAAATTCAAGGATAAACCTGGTATGGCCACTATCGGTACATATGTAAGCTGTATTACAAGTGTCCCCGTCATTTTAAACTATCCATCAGAAGCAAGCATTCCCTTTCAATAAGTCTTCTAATCTGCTTTGACAACCCCAATAGCAGCAAAAGAGTACTAAAGCAGACCTCAAAGAATAACAATCTGTGAAATGCTTAGAGATCATAAAGGAGTCAAGGTATTTGAGAATGCATTAGCATTTCTTGGTGTCTAAAGCCAGTAGTCCCATAAACTAAATATATGTCAAGTTACTGTCCTTACAGAAAGTTGTCTGTTTCCAAACCTAGGTAGATTCTTACCTGCTCTCTGTATTCTTTATCTCAGTCACCTGATGTTGCATCTCCTGCACAATACTCTCATATTTGTCCTGAGGGATTTGAGATGAGATTTCCAAGACAGCTCTACTTTCTGCTAGTTCCTTCTGCAGTTGCTGCTTCTCAGACTCCACTTTATTTAGGGCCTTGAGATAACTCTCCTGGAGTTCTGCTAAGGGGGTGTTTTTTACCTTAATGTCAGAAATGCTTTAGTTAATAGTGTCTTGTTTTGTTCATAAGTTCAAGTCTCTCTAAAATTTGTTCTGTATTGCAGACTGAAGTAGTAAAATTTCCAAGCCTCTTACTAGGAAAAAAAATCCCTCCAGAGGATAGATCAATCACAAAATGTCTGAACCAGTCCACATCTAGACAGAGTGAACTAATCAAACCTACAGAGGTACAAACTTTCCTCATTCATCTCAATTGGGGCTGAACTTCAAGACCAATTTGTGATCACTTAAATGTCAGTCCCATTAAATGTGTTCCCGCTGTAAAGCACACTATTTACACCCAAACCAATAGGAATCCCTGCTTACAGTTGGGTATATCCCAAACCCCCTGACATTCCATTCATTTGAAATTGCTGTATGATTAGTGTATCTGAGAGCTGAAGAGAAAAGCTTAAATAACCAGCTGGGACTGACCCTTCTAGAAAAATAAGTCTAAGATCCTATTACAAATAAAACCAACCACACGTGGGAATACTAATCAGAACTTAACCAATGTCTACTCTGAAGCTTTGATCAAACACATTCACTTTTGAAGTGCCATGTTTTTAGTCAGGATTCATGGATAGATTTCTAAAGCAATATAACTCAGGCAGGCAGCCTTTTCCCCATCTCCATCCCATGCCCCTTATGATTAGCTTACATGATTGGCAATATTTTCCATGCTAAGATTTCATAATGCAAAGTCTATGGTCGCTGCACCCTAATATGAAATACACGTGGACTGCAAAGGAGAACAATAGAGAACACTCCCATTCACATGGAGGCTGTTTGGACATGACTCCCTCCCTCCTCTATCCAGAGACAGAGAGGGCTGGTGGATTTGTGAGGTTTCTCCTAGGTCTCACCAGATGAATAAGTGAGCATTCAAATTAGAAATCCTGCTTAGCTAACTGAATTTCAAGTCCAAACAGATCCCATGTTCAAATAATTACTAATGTATGATAATTCTATCTGCTATAAAAATGGGGGGGGGGGTTCCTACTAGTTCAACAGTATGAATCCAGGGAAATCCATGTTTATTGAAGTCTAACTGTAACACTGTTCCAGTTACTGAGAAAAACTGTTAAGATACACCTAGTCATGTGATCAAACATTTGTCACCAAGGATTCACAGTATTGTGTGTAATGGTTCAACTGAACTACAGTGTGAACAGGCTCTGCATACGGCTTTTTATAAAAATGTTTTATTATAATACTCTTCACTAAATTTTGGTAAGATTACTTGCACTGACACCTAGTGGTCACAGAAAAAGAAAATAATTATATCGCAAAATGTCTTTTTTATCCCTAACTTTAGGATGCTTTTGCAACATTTATTGTTGTTGTTGTCCCTTCAAGGCATTTCTGACTTATGGCTATCCTATGGTGAACCTATCATGGGATTTTCTTGGCAAGCTTTGTTCAGAGGAGGTTTGCCATTGCCTGCCCAATGCTGAGAGCATGTGATTTACCCAAGGTCACCCAGTGGATTTCATGGCCAAGCTGGGAATCGAACCTTGCTTTCCAGAGTCACAGTCCAGCACACAAACCATTATGCAATGTTGGCTCACATAAACTCAAATACAGTCAGCCCTCCAATGTGTGGCTTTGATTTCTGCAGATTTGATTATTCACAGATTTGAGTAATATGTTCTCTCTAGGAATCTCTAGTTCCTCCAATACAACCCTATGGTTAACATCAGCCAGAAATCACACTGGAGGACCGAGAGATTCCTAGAAAGAGTACTTCTTTAGGCATTTGCGGGCCCTGTAGGACAATTCTATGGTCAACCTCTGGCAGAAGTTGACCACAGAGTTGGGCTGGAGGACCTAGAGTTTCCTAAAGAGGTGTTCTCCCAGATTTAAAAAAAAAATATGTTTGTGTTATTTGTAGTTTTTCCACTTTCCTGGGGGTCCTGTAGTCCTAACCCCAGCAAATGTGAAGGGCCCACTGTAATTTCACTTAAGTCCTACCAAGCATTTCAATTTAAACACAAACATACAGCACCTTAACATAGCAATTTCAGTAGAAAATCATTTCACCTTTCAATTTTGTATAAATGCATGATTGATACACTTGCCAGCACAAATCACAGAAGCAAGCATCATTCAGAGACAAGGAATACACAGTAATAGAAATATACTCCCCCATGTTAGACTCTACCTTTTGCAGCATTTCCGAGAGGTGCTGATTTTCTTGTCTGAGCATTTCTAACTGAGAAAGGATAGCCTTGAGTAACAGATTTAAAAAAAGTTATTATTTGATTTTTCTAATCATTAATATAGAACAGATGCAGGGACTATATAGCCCTTTGGATACACACCTTCTACAAAGGCATGTGTTGTTTAGACTGTAAGTCAGTCCAAATGTGAAAATCCCAACTTTCATCCCAGCATGTTTCTAAACCTCACAGTTGAATGTAAAAATATGTTACTGACAATACTAAGGGGGCTGGATCAAGCAATCAAGCAAGCAAACAAAAGAAGCAATACATCATTTATCTTAATTCCATGGTTTCCAACCAGATACATCAAAACATTTGAAGCTATCTTACCCTGTGCTCCACTGCCTTTCGTTCTGCTTTTTCAATTTCTGTTCTTAGCTGTTGCTCTAAGCCCAAGGTAGACCCACTAGATGAGGCAATTGTGATGTCGCGCTGGTGCAGTTCCCTGGTTAGCTGGGTAACCTCCTGCTTCATTCCCTCCAACTCAGAGTTATGGCTTTGTTCTTTGTGTAGTAGTTGCTCTTTCAGCTGGAGAGGAACACATTTGAATTTGTAGGTTAACACTTCAGTGATGATAAGAAAGGAACTTGGATGTACTTTCATGTAGGCTGATAGAAGACTCTCTGGAAGCCCCTGTTCTCATGACTGAATCCTAGAAATTTCCCCATTTCTGGTTTGTTTTTCTCTGACTCCCTTTGTCAGTTCCCACTTCAGGTTAAGTAGTTGGGGAAACAGGTCATGGAGAAGCCATGTGTCTGGGTTTGGACATAATAAAAAAAAATGATTTAAACACTCCAGCCCAAACTTGGTGGGCTTTGTGGCTGGATAACAAACCATGATTTGTTTGTAGGAAAAGGATTCTGATAGAAAACAATAGTCCAACTTAAACAGTCAAAAACCTGGCTTACTGTTATATGCAAATCTGGGCATTGAATACAAACATTTCTATTAAAATCAGAGAACTACTAGTATTTTGTTCTCCCAAATAAATGTGTCATGGAAATCTCGACCACCTATTTGGCAAGTCCTTCTGAATGAAGACTTAAAGACCCATGAAAGAATTTAAGGGAGGGGAGGAGAAATTTATCACTTAGGAAAAAGTAGATATAATTTCTGTTGCTCTATTACTTTCCTTAAAATTGCAACAGTTCAAAAATCTGCTCATGTCTCTTGGGCACAGAACCCCAATTATTCAGGTTCTCTAACAGACCTGGAGAGAACTGAAAGAAAGAGCTGAGTAGTTATCAAAGATTCTAGTTGATTTACACCTACATGTATTATAACAACCTGATTTGGCTGATCTAGTGCTTTATTCTATTTATCAAAGAAATAGCCATATTAGTCTATTGGAACTAAAGAGGAGGAAAGGAAGGGGAGAAAAAAATGAACATGGCAGCACTTTTAAGACTAACTCGTTTTTATTTAGGCATGAGCTTATGTGAATATAAATCCACTTCTTCACATGTAGAGTGTGTGTGTGTGTGTGTGTGTGTATACAAATGCGTGCACATGTGCACATATGTGCATGTCTGCAAGTCATCTTATGTACTCTTTGGTTCACTTTGCATCTTATCTTTAATAATCTAATGGCATGAACAACCTATATTAAGTTTATGTAACAGATTATTATAGTCCTCCAAGTTATTTTAATGAATTACCATCCATAATACTTACTTATTTTCACAAGAATCTCTTACCTTTTTAATTTCTGCTTTGGCCTGGTTGAGGTGCTCTTCAGCCAGCTGCAGCTTCTGGCTCTTTTCAGTTAGCTGTTCATCTGGCTGGATGCTCTTTGCTTTTGCAGATCCCAGGCTAGACCCCAAAATATATAGGCAAAGAGTAAAAGCACAATATGTTGTAACTTACTGTAATACTATGATACAGGGCACAAAGAATTTGGCAGCCTTTTGCTGTCCTGTAATTCACATGACCTCCAAGCAATACAGCAATACTGAACATAACAGAGATTTCCCCAGATTGTCATACAGTTCAATATTGGGGGGGGGGGGGGGGAGATCAGTGACAGTTTTGGTTACTGTAGCAAGCATACAGAACTCTTCAATCTAACTATGGGATAAAAATGCTATAATTAACAGCCAGCTATTTCTAAGGAAGGTATGCTGGCATATCCCACAATAAATTGCTAAAAATTTTAAGGCACTACCTACAGTCATAGTGAACATGCATATCCTATTTTCTGTGTATTCTTTTCTAAATACAGATACATTTTTGAATCATCATATACCTGGTCTCAAGATGACATACGTCAGCATGATCTAGCTGCTGGTGCATATACTTCAACTCTGCCCCATCATGATAGACACCTTTGGCTCCCTCACTGCTCTGCAACTGTTGTTCCAGTGACCTATACAGGAACACAGGCCAGTCCCTGAAGGCATTAGTCTTCTGACATCCAAACCAAGTCAGCCATACTGAGATATAAATATTGGTAAACCTGGTACTGTTGGAATATTCATCTACATACTCGGTGTTTCTAAAAGCCATATATTTGGTTAAAATAGCAATCCACATTGATAACAATTCTCAGTCAATGAAATAACAGCAGCAAACTATGTCACTATTCTTACAAGAGAATGCAACAGCCCAGCCCTTGGCAATGCCTGCAGCTTTGTCCTGGCAGTGCTGACATGATGTTCTACTGACTTCTTTAATCTTATTTACTTATTTGATTTGATTTATACCCAACCTATCTCCCAAAATGGGACTCAAAGAAACTTGAAACAATTAGTGAAGAACTTTTACTGAACAGTAACTATCAGTCATATTACTCTTTAAAATAAGGTTTAAATTGAGTGGGCAAACAAGCAACAGCGCTCAGCCTAAT